GTATAAAAGTTTCTAGTTAGAAAGGTAAAATTAATTTTCATTTGTTTTGTCTTAAGGATTTTAGTTAATGTTACTTTTTGTCCTATACCCTAATAATTTTAGATTTAATTCAAGACTGGTCTAGTGATAGTGCTCCAGACATTTTTTCATTTGTTCCATATACGTGGACTTTTAAAATCATGTTTCATCAGTTTGAAATGATTTGGGCTGCTAATCAACACAATTGGATTGACTGTTCCACCAAACAACAGGAAAACGGTAAGAAATTATTAAAATTTAGGTTAAATATTCTGCTCATTGGAAACTTTGGTGGCATAGTGCCTAAGGCATGTGACTGCTGACCAGAAGGCTGGTGGTTCAAACCTACCAGCCACTCCTCGGAAGGAAGTTTGGGCAATCTACTTCCATAGTGATACTGCCTCGGAAACCCACGAAGAGATCACTATGAGTTGGATCCAACTCCATGGCAGTGAGTTTGGTTTGGTTTTGGTTTATTCTCCTCAAAAAAAGAAAATTAGAATTGATATTATGGTTTTAATAAATACTAGAATTTATTTTTCCCTCATTATCTTGTAATACTCTTCAGTAGACCATTTCAGAGTTTTGTCTTGTGCTAAGCATATTGTCTTATTTGTGTGTATTTAAAGTAATTTAAATTAAAATCTTATTGAAGTTAAGAGTAATTTTCTTTTCCTTTTTTGTAGTTTATCTGGCAGCCTGTGGAGAAACACTAAACATTGATTTCTCTTTGCCTTTTACGGATTTTGTGCCAGCTACATGTAATACCAAATTCTCTTTAAGAGTATGTATAATTGGGTGTATTGTTTATTTCACAAGGTTTATTTAGTAATTTTTGTTTTTCGAAGCTTTTCTTTCCTCTCCCCTAGAAATCTGAAGTATTTTAGCTTTCCTCCATTCACTCAACCTCATAGAACTGCTGCCATTTCCTTATTATAGTTAACTACCTCTAAGAAGTTAGACCCTCTAACCCCTTACCCACCCCACCCCCCACACAAAAATCTCTCAATCAGTTATTTTGTTAGAACTCATTTATAACTTATGTGGCCAGTCTATGCTTTCTCCTAAAAATTCTTTCTAGCTCTAATATTCATTTGATTTATGAAGTATATTTTCCACTTCTCTATACTTGATTCCTTATTATAACCACAAATTCAAGGAATAACCAAAAGTACCTTTATTCCTTTATCAGAAAGCCAGTGTTTTGGTTCTCTAGTGCCACTTTAACAGAAAATACCACAAATGGGTGGCTTTAACAAACAGGAGTTTATTCTCTTACAGTTTTGGAGGCTAGAAGTCCGAGTTCAAAGTGCCGGGTGAAACCCGCTCAACCTTGGGTTCCACCTCTGCCTCTTGCTCCCAGCCCACTGGAGCTAAAGGTGTCTCTTCACCCAGGCAGCTGCTGGCTGCTAAGGCTAACAAGCGGAAGGTTGACAAATAAAATGGCACAGTCCCAATATTACCTACCAAACAACATGGCAGGCCACTAGTTTAAGTCCAGAGATAGTTCCAAGATTGGCAGGAAACATGGCAGGCTGCTAAATGAAGACTCAGCTACATGTAGGGGCAAGCATGCCAAAAAGCTGCAGACCATTCCCAAAGCCTCTTCTTATATACTGGAAGCAGACCACATCCCTAAAGCAGCTACTCAGCTGCTCAAGCAGTTTCTACCATAGAGTTAATTGCCAGTCTCATCATGGGGAATAACTACAACCAGCCACTCAAAACTAGGCCCAGCCAAGTTGACACATAACCTTAACTACCACAGGCAGCTTTCATGCACTTCTGAACTCAGAAGTTTGCAGAACGTCTAATCTTAGAGCATGGGCAAATAGTAGTAGTTGTAGTACTTACTGATTTTGTGTTATTGTAACAGTAATAATGTGAGCAGCTAACACCTATTAAACATTTTCCATGTGTCAGTTACTCATTCAAGTGCTTCACATGTAGTAACTCGTTTAATTCTCAGCAGAACGTTCTATATTTTTTTAAATTGTT